TTACAATCGTTACTTACCTCAAACCAGTCAAATCTCTACCCCATAATGCTCTTGCCTCTAGACTCGGCCTCCAAATGCTCCGAATCTATTCACAATCAGTACAATACCATCAATACGCGCTTATGGAATGAATTCCACAAGAAAAGCTACAAAATTAGAGAAAAACTTGAAATTGGCTCAACCCCCTCCCCCTCCCCCCCGGCCCACGTCTCGAAATACAACAAAATTTACAAAACTGGAAAGCCCATTCACTCACGAGTCTAACTATACCAAATTCATCAAAAACCAACATCGTTTGCTTCTTCAAATCCTTAAATTACTTCTCCAAAAATCCCAAGCCCTAACCCCTCATTTTCACTAAATACATTATTAAACAACGAAAAATCATCATATATACGAGTATTAGGGCTCAAGTAACTTACCTCAATGAAAACCCCCTTGATTCCCTCTACAAATCTCTCCCAAAAGCTCCAAAACCAATTAGAAATGGTGAAGAATGCACCAAAATTCGCGAAGTGTGCAATATGTACCTTCTGCCCAGGCTTCTCGCACCTGCGGCCTTTTACTTGCACCCGCGCGACTGCACCTGCGGTCCAAACAACCTCACCTGCGTAAGTCACTCAAACGCCCAGACCCCGCACCTGCGCCTTATTCCTCGCACCTGCGGGCTCGCAGGTGCGGCCAAGCTTGCGCACCTGCGCTCGATCCCCACCTTCCAAAATTCCGCGTCTGCGGCCACCTTCCGTGCATGCGACCCTCGCACCTGCGGCTCCCTTTTCTGCAGGTGCGGAAACACCAGAAAACTCACACCAATAGATTTTCAGCAACTCACCAACACCATAAACCAATCCGCTAACCATCCGAAACACACCCGAGGCCCTCGAGAACTCAACCAATAATACTAACGAGTCACATATCAATATACGAACTAAGTTGAGCCTTCGAAACACTGAATACGATATCAAAACACCAAATTCACCTCAGATTCAAGCCTAAGAACTTTTAAATTTCCAAATTCGGCAACCGATGCCGAAACCAACCAAATCACGTCCGAATGACCTCAAATTTTGCACATACGTCACAAATGACACTATGAACCTACTCTATCTTCCGAAATTCCATTCCGACCCCGATATCAGATTTTTCACTACCGGCCGATATCGCCAAATTTCCAACTTTCGCCAATTCAAGCCTAATTCCACTCCGGACCTCCAAATCATATTTCGAATGCGATCCTAAGTCCAAAATCACCTAACGAAGCTAATGGAACCATCAGAATTTCAATTCGAGGTCAAATACTAAAATGGCAAATTTGGTTAACTCTCCCAATTTAAAGTTTTAACAATGAAATTCTTTCTTCCATTTAGATTCCGAAATACTTGCAAACCAAAACCGATAATTCACACAAGCCAAAGTACATCATACGGAGCTACTCATGCCTCAAACAACAGAGCGAAGTACAAATATTCAAAACGACCGGTCGGGTCGTTACACGCCATCACGATAGGTTGAGTTTTGGGTCGTGACATCTTTATTCTATTTTCTAAAGTTATTTCTTTAGAAACTTAACTTAGGGACCTCCGGCCCTCATGACCTTCATGTCCAAGTATTGTGATTATCCTGATACCCTTGTGTGGGCTCGCAGTTACTTCGAGGTCTCACTAGGTATTATCTTAAGCTCGAGTTAGGCTTAATCTTGTTAGAAAGGTTTTTGGGATTTTACAAATGTACTTAGTTGTGATCAGTCCTTTTAGTATTTTTTTCTCGAATGAAGTGACAGTCAATTTCGATGTGTTTGGTTCTCTCATGATATACTGGATTGGTTGCAACCTGCATAGAAGCTTTATTATCACTGTAAATCTCAACAGGTAGTTTGATCTGAAAATCAACTTCTTTTAGTAAGCCAATCATCCAGATTAGTTCTGCCATTGTGGCAACAATGCTTCTATATTCTACTTCTGCTGAGCTTTTTGGCACAGTTGTTTGCTTTTTAGATTTCTAGGAAACTAAAGAATATCCAAGTTTAATCATATAACATGTAACGGATTTTCTTGTATGTGGGTAGGAAGCCCAATCAACATCACAAAAATCCCATGACTGTATTGCAGATGTTACTAGATAGTAGAATTTCTTGGCTAGGCTATTAATATCTTACAATTCTAAGTGCAACTTCCATGTGAGACCTTTTAGGATTTTAAAGACACTGACTGAGAGTATGAACACTAAAAGATATATCAGGTCGAGTCATGGTAATATACAACAGCTTACCTATCAATCTTTGATAATAAGTGTGATCCTCTAGTTCTTTATCATCAGTGAATGTGTCTGTTTCACACATCTTGATCCAGTCATCATATTCATGTGTTGTGATTTTTATATTGTAATATAGAGGTATGATAGTAGATTTAGCAGCTCCTAGTCTAGTTTCAAAAATAAGCTCTAGTGCATACTTCCTTTGGTGCATTAGGATTCCTTGCTTGGACCTGACAAATTCAATGCTTAAAAAATAATTTAACTCACCTAAGTCTTTCATTTTGAAAGCCTTCTGTAGAGAAGTTTTGGTATTTTGTATCAAGTTGAGACTGCTTCCTGTGATAAGCATATCATCAATATACAGTAACACTATAATGATGCCTTCTGAAGTCTTCTTGAAGAAAAGAGAATGATCAAACTGACTTTTCTGAAATACATACCCCAATAAGGTTTTTGTTAACTTAGCATTCCATTATCTCATAGCTTGTTGCAATTCATATAAGGATTTAACAATTCGACATACTGATTTTTTCTCCCCTTGACTAGTAAATCCTTGTGGCATTTGCATGTAAATTTCATCATAGAGATCCCTTTGTAGAAAGGCATTGTATGCATCCATCTGATGTATATGCCACTGTTTTTTGCCAGCAATAGCAAGTATTGTTCGGGCTATCTTCATTTTAACTACTTGGCTAAAAGTTTCTTTATAATCAATGACATCTTGTTTCTAAATCCCTTTGCTACTAACCTGGCTTTGAATCTTTCAATATCCCCTGAAATTTTGTACTTAATTTTATAGATCCATTTGCATCCTATTGGATGTTTGCCTTCTTGTAGGTTGACTATATCCCATGTATGATTGTCTTGTAATGCTTTAATTTCAGCTTTTATTGCTTCTATCCATCTAGGATCCTTGATAACCTGTGAGTAGCTTGTAGGCTCTATGGTAGAAAAGATAGTTATAGTGTAAGCTTGATATTTAGGTGATATATTATCATATGTAATATATTTAGACAATGCATACGGTGTGTCTTGATGAATATTTGGAGAGGCAAAGTCTCTGAGCCAAAGAGGTGGCCTTTTTTTCCTTTATGACTTTCTGAGCTCATCCTGATTTGTTGAGACTATAGTGGTAGGAGGTGGTTGAATAGAAGATGACATAGTTGGTGGTTTAAGCTCAGTGGTTTGATCCAACTGACTTAACTCATCTTGTTGATCCATGAGTTTTGCTTCTTAATTAAATTCAGCTGGTTGATCAAAAAATTTAGGAGTAGCAGTATCATGATTCTCAGTTGTTTCAGTGATTCTCTGATTTAGAGTTGTAGATGGTTGACCACTTGTTTCATAGAACAATTTGTGGAAGTTGTTGTCTTAAGTGAATATAATGGTAGATGTTTTTTGATTTTATTTGAATGGGAATGTATCTTCCCAGAAACTAACATCTCTACTTACAAAAAAGGATATATTTTCTAGATCATATAGTAAGTATCCCTTCTGTTCAGCTGCATATCCCATATGTATTATCATTTTTTATTTGGGCATCATTCTGTCATGTTTCTGGACTATCTTTGCATAAGCTAGACATCCCTGTACTCTCAGTGAGTTAGAGTAGGTTTTTTGTCCGACAGCCTCTTATAAGGTGTTTGATTATTTATGACTATGCTTGATAGTCTATTGATCAAGTAAACTGCAGCTAAAAACACAATGCCCCCAGAATTTGAATGGTATATTTGCTTGAAATTTGTTTGCCCTTATGACTTCTAGAATATGCATGTGCTTCCTCTCAGCAACTCTATTTTGCTGAAGTGTATAAGCACACATTTTTCGATCATTAATTCCTAGATTGTTGAACATGGTTTCACATACCGAATTTACAAATTCAGTACCATTATATGTTCTGATTACCTTGATTAGCTTATCAAACTGGGTTCTGACAAATGCAATGAACTTCTGTAGCATAGTGCTCACATCAGACTTCAATTTCAACAGATATATCCAATTAAATCTAGTATAGTCATCAACCACTGTTAAGAAGTATTTGCTTCCATCAGTTGTAGGTAATTTGTAAGGCCCCCATAAATCAACATGTACTAATTCAAAACAAATATAAGTTTTTGTATTACTGATTGGAAAATGAAGTCTTGTTTGTTTTGCAAATGGACACACAGTACATTTATCTACTCTTTTAGCTATTGTTTCAGTCTTTTACAGATAGTACTTTCTTGAGTACTGAGGCTGATACATGTCTAAATCTTTTATGATATAGATCTATGTCTTCATTTGTCTTGAGTTCAATGATAAATGGAAGCTCTTTTGCTGCTAATATGACTTCATCATTGGTTCTAACTGGTTAACTATTTCCATTTAGAATGTATAATCTACTGTCTTCTCTACCAATCACTCTCCCCTGCCCATTGAAGAGATTCTGAAAAATATAAAAATCAGGTAAAAAGTCTACTGAGTACTTTAGTTATTTTGTGACCTTAGAGTCTGATAATAAATTATACTTGAACTGTGGAATATGAAACACATTTGTTACTGTGATTCTATTAGAGATATTACTGGAACCAGTGTGAGCCACATGTGTGATATCTCCATTAGGTAGGAACACTTTCTTTGGATAGTGTGGTTGCATAATGGAGGCTTTGTTCAACAGACCTATGTCAACTACCATATGATTGATAGCACCAGTGTCGATTATCCACTCTTGTAGACTAGTAGAAGCTAAACAAGCAGTACTAATACCTACTGCATTACCTGTAGAAGCAATCTCAGAATCATTAACACTTTATTCAATATCTGTAGGATTTATTCATACTGTTCTTTTGAAAAAGTGCAGCTTGTTATTGGAGGCAACCCTTGTACATTCAGCTAAGTAGTAGCTCCTTGTCCCATATTGTAATTGAGCTTTCCTATGTCTGAATTTGTATACATTGGCATCTGATTAAATGAATTTCCTGATGCTTGAAATTGATTTGTCTGGGAGTTGACCTCAGTTGAACCATTGTAACTTATATTCTTGATGTGTGCATTTTTTCGGTCATCACATTGTACACTGCATTTCCAACTTTCCCTTTCTTCCTATTCTTAAATTCAGGAGGATACCCCACAATTTTACAGCAATTTTCTTTATTATGTCCTTTCATTTTGCAGAAATCACATTGGATATTGTAGTTCTTCTTGAATTTCTGATTTCCTCCATGTCTAGTTCTGGTATGCATAACCACATCATAATGATTTGCAGACATGGTTAGATTTGCACCCAATAGTCTAGAGGCAGCAACAGCTAACTTTTGGCTTTCATCATTGATGATTAAGGCATAGGCTTGATTAATAGTTGGTGTAGGATTCATAATCAAGATCTGACTCCTAGCTTGACTGTACGAGTCATTCAACCCCATCAAGAATTGAAACAATTTTAGCTTCTGTGAATGCACTACAAAGCCCTTAGACTTTGTACAATCACACCCAGGAGCAGGGACTAAGGCTTCGAATTCTTCCCACAAATCTTTGAGTTTTGAGAAGTACACTTAAACAGAAGTTGTCCCTTGACATAGAGTAGCAATTTCTTTATGCAAATTGAATGATCTAGATCCATCTACTTTGTTAAATAGTTCATGAAAGTCATTCCACACTGCCTGGGAACTAGACACATACATAATGCCACCAAGAAGGCCACTTGCAACAAAATTCATAATCCAAGATAACACAATAACATTCACTCTTTTTCGGTGATTCCGAGTATATTTTGGGAAGTTTTATTTAGACAACGACCCATCAACTAACCCCAATTTGTTCCTATCCAATAGTGTTACTCTCATAGAACGATACCAGATAGAGTAATTTTTGATACATGTCAATTGAAACGAGATAATTTGAATTCCACTAACATCTGTTGGTGAAAGAAACAATGGATAGTTGTAGTCAATTCCTGGGGCTTGGTTCAAATTGAATCCTTGGGTTGTACATGTTGCATGTGAATGTTGACTCATATCTGGGGGTGTGAAATCCTCAATCGCCATTGATGACAAAGAATTTCAAGAACATACTCGCAGAAGACAGTAGAGAAGAACTAATTTTTACGGAAGAACAAAAATCGAACACCGAGCTAAGATTTCTTGCTCGACTTCTCTGATACCATAAAATTCTTTATGCAGTTACGGAGAAATATAGTAGACTTTGCAGAGATAAAAGAAAGAAGAAGACATAGAGGATGAAAGAGATGATCTTCTGTTATTCATCTTGAAAAAGAAAATGAGAGTACAAGTCCTATATATAAAGTCTATACGTGTTGAGAGAGGAATTAACTGATACTTAACATCCTAACTAACATATAACTAATTCATTAACACTAACGGATACAATAAGGAATGACTAAACTAACCCTTTCTTCCTTGTTATGTAATACCTTTATCTACAATCAATAAGACCTATGATGGATAGTGGAATAGACAAAATTGCATCTACATCTTCAGGTTCAAAATTCATACTTATCTCATGAAGTTTCTAGGTATGCTTATGATGGATAAGCATTTCTGGGGTCAAAGACATTAAAGAAACTCAATGTCAAAAAAAATAAAAGAAAAATAAAAGTAATAGAAGCATTTCCAATTGCCTATTTCACAAAAATTATATTAGAGTGTGTTCTCGTTGTTCTGATTTGTACGATAATGTTGTAATATATAGCTACTTCCAAAGCAACTTATCTGAGAGTACGAGTAAGTTTTTTTTTTTTGTACGGTTTCAAGCACAATATCATAGAAGGGATACTAAAAGCACCTAGCTGAGCATACAGTGAAGCATAAAAAAGAGAGGGAGGAAATAGCTTCGTCTCTACTGAAGATATGCTTAGATAACTGAACTTTTCAATTCTTGTCCCTTGTGATAAAAACCATAGAAAAGCGGGTCATAGTCTCCTGTCTAATTGTGGACTTAATCTTCCCACAGTCAAATAACACGTATTTTGAAAACTAAATTATTATGAAGAAAGGCCTGAAAAGTATTTGATGTTTCTCCAGATGTTTATGATGCTGTCATTTTCTGTAGGATGTTGCTTTGGTGATGGTTTCAATGAGACCAATTCCTCTCGGTCCAATTTCTTTAGGAGAAGCTATCGTTGACACTTGCAAAGTATGGAACAAGTCGTAAATTTTATGTCCAGACATTGGATGATCGTGCTCTTTCACTCGATGTCCAAAAAAAGCTTGTGAGGGAAAACACTCCTGAAGGTGTCTTCAAGATCAAAGGCAGTGACCATTGTCCATTCTTTTCCAAGCCACAGTCGCTCCATAAAATTTTGGTTGAGATTGCTCAGATTCCATAGGAATGTACATAAGAAAAGAAACCAGCCGATTGGTTCTTTCCATTATTAGTTGCTCTATTAACACATGTGACAAAGGCAAGTGGCACTAATCATTCTGTAAAATAATTAACAGATGATTGACAAACATTGTAATCATTGATTCCTCCAAAGAATTTTTTATTTGGTTAATTTATGGTTCTGGTCTTTATGTTAAGTATCATAAAAATATGAAGACTAACAACATATGATCCATAATTTTGAATTGCAGTTATAAACTCTCCTTCAATTATGTATTTCTGAGCATCTAAATATAGTGATGTAAAGTCTGCTATTGATTTATTCAAGAAAATGCTATAGAGGCATGAAATTTAATTCAGAATTAGATGAGGCTCAAGGATCAAAAGCTTCTTTATGAATTTGGATTTCAATTGAAAAGATTTTGGAAGCAACTTAAAAATGCACAGCATTCCCATGGTATCCTATATATTATAAAGTATCTACAATTCCATGTGCAATAACAAAGGAAAGCTAAGTAACAATTGGCTTCTCATTAAAAAATGCTACAAACGCCAAAATTCTTGATGAGTTATGATAGAAAATCAAGCTAACATAATTTTGACTTGCAGTTATGACTCAAACTAAATGCTGAATCATGCATCTACTATATTAAAGATTTATGGAGCTAGTTGAAATGCTTCATTTGGCTCCAGCATATCGTAATATGTATCTTCCAATTCCATCCTAAACAACCAATATAATTGGTCTTCATTATTTGCAGCATAACCTTCAAAAGCAGCCACTTCAGAATAGTGTACGTGCACTGAATTATCAGATACTGACTGATCAACATTGAGCATGTCCGTGGCTTCAACAGGATAAGTCGTCTCTGTAGGTTCTACTATTGCTGCTAATGGCTCGGCAATATTCACCTCTATATCAACCTCGGACACATCTTCTAATATCTGATCTGGTACTTCCAATTCCTTATTATCCCATTGATACTATAAAGTTCAGTTGATAAGGAGGTCAAAGGATGATTGTATTGAATCTGATAACAAGCCTTAAATACATAAATTACAACAAACTAGAGCTGAAGTAAAGTTAACTGTCTTCTACAGAAGCTCTTATATAATAGAAACTAATATCTACTCTTAAAGATGCTCCAAATTATGAGGAGACTTATTCAAACTGTACCAATCAGTAACAAGAGATTAAGAAGATATTATCCGATGACTTAGTCAAGATAACCATAAGATAAGATGGTTAATACACCCCCTCAAGTTAGACATGGTGCAATAATGCCTAACTTGGAATGACACCTAGCAAAGGCTGGTTTAGGTAGTGGCTTGGTGAAGGTATCAGCAAGTTGATCACAAGCATGAGTATGCTTAATATGAACTTGATGAGCTTGAACTTGGTCTCGGACATATGCAAAATCTACAGCAACATGTTTCATGCGGGTATGAAATACTGGGTTGTGAGATAAATAAGTAACTCCAACATTATCACAGAAGATTGTTGGCGTCTTCGGAATGGTGACATGTAACTCACGGAGTAAGTTTCGCACCCAAGTGATCTCCGAAAGTGCATTGGCAACTGATTTATACTCTGCTTCGGTGGATGAGCGAGCCACGGCATGTTGCATTTTTGATGACCAGCTGACTGGATTCGGACCAAAGAAAAGGATATAACCTGATGTAGATATTCTGTCGTTCGGGTCGCCTGCCCAATCGGCATCAGCATACACATACAGATTAGAGTCTGAGCTGCGAAGGATGCGAATGCCTGAACTTGCTGTTTCTTTGAGATACCGTAGTACTCTTTTAACCGCTTTCCAATGTTCATCAGTCGGAGCATGCATAAATTGCGATAATTTATTGACTGCATAAGATATATCAGGCCGAGTGAAGGACAAATACTGTAATTTGCCAAGGGTGCGTCGGTAGCACGTTGCATCAGTAGGGGGGGAACCATCGACTACCCAAAGCAGTTGACTGGAACACATAGGAGTAGAAACACCTTTACAATTATCCATATCCAGTTCGGAAAGAATGTCCAAAATATATTTAGATTGAGAGAGAATGAGACCATCTGGTACTTGCTTAACTTCAACACCCAAGAAATAGTTTAAATGGCCAAGATCCTTCAATGAAAATCGATTTGCCAAGGAACTGATAACAGATTTAATCAATAGTGGATGATTTCCAGTGACCAAAATATCATCAACATAGACGAGCACATAAATAGTTGCAGCCGAATGCCTCAATACAAATAAAGAGGTGTCAGATTGACATTTAACAAAGCACATCTTCTGTAAATGTTCATGCAAGGTAGTATACCAAGCCCGGGGGCTTGTTTGAGGCCATAAATAGCCTTTTTCAGTTTGCAAACATGGTATGGAAATTGGGGATTAACAAAGCCTCGAGGTTGAGACATAAAAACTTCTTCATCCAATTTCCCTTGCAGGAAAGCATTATTGACATCAAGCTGATGGATTGGCCATCTGTGTTTCACAGCTATTGATAGCACTAGCCTTACCGTTGTTGGTTTAACAACGGGACTGAATGTCTCATGAAAATCTAAGCCAGGACGCTGCGTGAATCCTTTTGCAACTAGACGAGCTTTGTAACATTCTATGGAACCATCCGATTTTCTTTTGATTCGGTACAACCATTTGCAGTCCACAACATTTGTGGTTGAATCTCGCGGTACCAATTCCCAAGTCTGATTTTTCATCAAAGCATCATATTCGGCTTTCATTGCTTGTCTCAACTCTTCATGTTTGTCAGCTTGTTTGAATGTTACAGGCGTAGGAGACAAATGGGTCAGAAAAGAGAATGTTCTTTTGGGCTTGAAAATATTATTCTGGGACCTGGTTATAATGCGAGTTGGTTCTGGTGGTATCGCAGGGGAGGGATCAATTGTAGATGGGTTTGTGGTATTTAGACTGTCAGAGAGTGACGAAGTGGAGGTTGGAGGAGGGGCTTCTCTGGTGGTTGATAATGGTTGTTGGGATGGCATGTTGCTGGTTGTGGTTCTGCGTCTCTGATATGTGAGCAAAGGAGGAGGTTGTTGCTTATTTCTAGCAGTATTTTGTGA